GAACAATAGCGGGCAAATATTTTGTTTTCGGCCGCGATTTTGTGTTCGAGCCACTCAATTGAAGCTGTTGCAAACTTTTAAGACGAATGTACGCGGCGCTGAGACAAGAGCTGCACTTTGAACAACACGAGCCCGCCATCCTTGAAACCGTTGCAAACTTTATGACGAATGTGCGCGGCGCTAAAGCGAGATCTGCACTTTGAGCAACACGAGCCCGCCATCCTTGAATCTGTTGCAATTTCTTAAGACGAATGTGCGCGGCGCTGAGGCGAGAGCTGCACTTTGAACAACACGAGCCCTCCATCCTTGAAACTGTTGCAAATTCTTAAAACGAATGTGCGCGGCGCTAAGGCGAGAGCTGCACTTTGAGGAGGAGGAGAGGTTTCGGGAGCGGACGAGTTTCGGGACGAGTTTATTCACCGCGGAGAGCTCCAAGGGGGGGGACCAAAACTAAAGACGCAACGAGGTTACAGTGGGGACAGTGGTGGGGACAGTGGTGGGAACAGTGGGACAGCTCAGCGGGACAGCGGAGTAGACAGTGGGACAGTGCGGACAGTGGGGATAGTCGGGCAGTGGTTGGGGCCGTGGAGGAAGTGGGGAGAACGGAACCGTGGTAGGAACAGTGGTGGGTCACAGTGGGGGGGGGAGGGGTTCGAACCGGTAGTGACCCCCCCCGGTTTTCGAGGTGGGGGGGGAGCGCTTCGAACCGGTAGTGACCCCCCCCCGGTTTTCGAAGGGGGGGGGGTTCGAACCCGTAGTGACCCCCCCCCGGTTTTTCCAGGGGGGGGGGTCGAACTGGTAATGACCCCCCCGGTTTTCTGGAGGGGGTGGGGGGTTCGATCCGGTAGTGACCTTTCTCTGGTTTTCTGGGGGGGGGGAGGAGGAGACTCGAACCGGTAATGACCCCCTCCTCGGTTTTTGAAGGGGAGGGGGGAGGAGGGGTCGAACCGGTAGTGACTCCCCCCGGTTTTCCGGAGGGGGAGGGGGGGGGGGGAAAGGGGGGGGCTCGCCGGGGGAGAGGAGGAGGGGGGGTCCAGCAAGGGGGGGATTTTCGGAGGGGGGAGGGAACCCCGGGCTCCGGAGGAAGAGGGGGGGGAATTTTCCATAGTAAAGCGGCGGTGAATCACGCTCTCTCATCTGAAGGTGCCTCAAGATGGCTCCCACGATGCTCCAAGAGGCCCCAAGACCGCTCCAAGACGGCTCCAAGTGGCCAAAGGGCTCCCCCAGGAGGCCCCGAAGAGGCCAGAATCCTTCCAAAACCATAAGGCCATTCATGTTGTTGGCTTTGTCGCCTTTTCGCTTCCGATGGCCATCCGAGGCCTCAAGATGGCTCCAAGATGGCCCAGGACGGCTCCAAGAGCGCTCCCAAGATTCCCAAGAGCGCTTCAAGAGGGCCCCAAGACGCGCCCTGTAGGCCCAAGGAGGCCCCAACAGGCGCCCAAGAGGCCTCCAAGAGGCTTTTTTTTCTCCCCAACGCCCCGAGCGGATCCCGCCACGAGGCGCGACAGGCCCCCACGAGCCTCGCGAACCCCCAGGAGCCCCAGGAGAACGCACAGCCGACGCCGCCCCCGCGCGGCCCGGCCTCAAGGCGCAACCCCTCACGCAGATCCGCGGGGTCAGGGTCCAAAAACACAGGGGATTTGCCACATTTCTGAAATTCGGTGCCACCCCTCACGCACATCCGCGGGGTCAGGGTCCAAAAGCACAGGGGATTTGCCACATTTCTGAAATTCGGTGCCACCCCTCACGCAGATCCGCGGCGTCAGGGTCCAAAAACACAGGGATTTGCCACCTTTCTGACATTCGGCGCCACCCCTTACGCAGATCCGCGGGGTCAGGGTCCAAAAACACAAGGGATTTGGCACATTTCTGAAATTCGGTGCCACCCTTCACGCACATCCATCGCAAAGCGTGGTAACCCAAACTGCGAGAACTCCCTCGGCCCTTTAATCGCAAGGTGTGGTAACCAAGCCCGTACACCATACACGTCTTACCAATCGCCAGGTGTGGTAACCCCTCTTGTGATTAGTTGGTTTTGCTGATTGCGTTCGGCTTCGCATGAAGTTTCGATACTGCTTCACAACAGCGCCAAGGCCTCATGACTTAGCTCTTCCATGGCCCATTCTCCGAGAGAGGGGGCCGGCGGCAGGGGGCGAAGCCCTTACGGATTAATCAAAATAATTAGATGTGGATCGATGTGTTCCGAAATATCCGTGACGTCCCCTTGCACCCAGACCGAAAATCAAGACGTTCGAACATTCAGAGACGAGAAATCGAGACAGTCACTTGCGCCCAGGAAGAAAACTAACACCTTCGAAGTTACAGATGCGAGAAATCCAGACATCCACTTGCGCCCAGGCCGAGAACTAACACACATTCGAAATTTCAGGGGCGAGAAATGGCGACATCCACTTGCGCCCGCACCGGGAACTAAGGCATTCGAAATCGCAAGGGCCAAAATCGAGACATCCCCTTGAGCCAGAACGGAAAATCTAGACACTCACAATTGCAAGGCAGGGTAATCATTATATCCAGTGCCTATGCCCCCAAAGAGTCGAGTGAAATCCATCGGAACCTATAGGATTCGGCAGAAATCGATTGGAATACATTGAAGTCCACAGGGGACCATAGGCATCCTGCGGAACCCATGGAAACCTATAACATCTGTAAGAACCAAATGGAGCCGACAACAACCCTTAGGCATCCCGAATACACCTACGTAAATTAATGGGAACCAGTTAGAACCTGACGATTCCCTACCGATCCATGGGAATACATGCGAGCCAGAAGACCTTCTGATGAAGAAATACATATAAAGACAGACTCAGTGTCGCGGCCTGCTCTTGAGAGGTACGTCAAGCAAGACGAGGAGAAGGAGACCAATGATGAGGACAAGGAGGCTGGAAAAGGCGGACAAAGGACACAGAGGATGCGAAGGAGCAGAGGGATGACGGCTGGGGCTTGGTTCTCACCCCCTGGAGTTGAACATGGACTTGATTATGTGACAATGCTGATTGCGCTGTTAATCGAGGTCACGAGGAACACATAATGAGGATGCGGAGGGCGAGGAGGAGGATGAGGATCAAGTAAGTAAGCAATGAAGAGATGGGACCAGATGGAGAAGGAGGGACAACAACAGCAGGAGTAACCAAGCCAAGCAGGAGCAAGAGCTGGACGAGGAGGCACCAGTGATGAGGGCGGCAAGGGAAAGTGCGAGGATGGGGTAGCGGAGGAGGAAGGCCCATCAAGGAGTTTCCCCCGCCCCTCCTCCTCATTTGCCATTCGTTTCCCGCCTCCTCCCGCCATCATGTGGCAACTCCTCCCCTTCCAGATACTGCTCAAGATCCTCCTCCCATCCTTTTGATCCTCCGCTGGATCCTCCTCCTCTTTATGATCCTCCTCCTTCTCAAGGCCCCTCTAAAAGATTGCGACTATCACCATCCTTGTTCTCCTTGTCCGCGTCCTGGTCCTTCTCGTAGTTTCCTCCTCCACCTCGTCGCCTTCGTCCACTTACACTGGTAGCAACAATAGGCCTGGTTCTAACAGCAACAGCTGCACTCCGAACGACATCTAGAAGCTGGCGGAAACACTTACCCACACATCACGTGTTATGAAATGACTCAAGTCATGAGGACCAGCGAAAGGTTGCGGTGGATGAGGAGGAGGAGGATTAGGTAGGAGGAGGGGGAGAGGAGAAAACCAGGGAAGGAACGAACAAAGAAGGAAAACGAAGACTGGGCGGACCTGTCACCGTACTCGCCTTCCGTGTTGTTATCAATTACCGCGCAATGCCGCCATTTTCCCAATCGTCGGTTCCCTTCCCGCTTCGTTGTTGCCGTCCTCCTCCTCCTCCTCCTCCTCCTCCTCCTCCTCCACCGTATGTTCTTTCTCCTCCTGGTCCTTCTGCACATCGTGCTGGTGAAGCCCTCCTTCTGCTCCCCGTCGTCCCCGTCGGCCTCCTCTGCCTCCCTCCTGCTCTTGCTCTACTGGTGTTGGTACCGCTTCTTGGACAAATGGTGCGAATGGTGATGAGTGACACGCGGTGCCGCACAATTTGATGCTGCGTGCTGCCACGCGGTACTAAATGGGGCCACGCAACACCGCGTGGTGCCAAGTGTGGGTGCAGTGTGGTGCCGTGTTGTACTATGTGGCGCCGCGGGGTGCCATGTGGTGCCACGTGGTGGTGTGATATGTCATGTGCTGCAATGTGGTGCAACGTGGTGGCGTGGTATGCCATTTAGTGCCACGTGGTTTAATGTTCGTGGTGACGATGTCCACGATTAGCATGATGCTTGCGAATACGGGCCAAACACGACACGCAAAGACACATTGAGACATATCAAGATATTCACGACATATCAAGGCACATCTAGACACCAACGATGTACCATCACCAACCACTCAGACCGAACGGCCCGCGTGGAAGATGGAGGTCGAGGGCTGGATTCACGGTCTCCGAGGACCGAGGAAGAACAACTAGGCATAAACAGAAACCTTCGGACGTCCGCGCGGATTTCCTGGATCGGCGCTGGACCCCCCTCCCTGGTGCGCGGAACGCGCCAGGGGCGGCGCCGCCACAAAGGGGTCCAGCGCAGATCCAAGAAATCCACGCGGAACTCCGACAGTTCAGGCTCATGCCGTTTTTTCTTCCTCGAATGTCTGAGTTCCCCCCCAGGAAGTCGGCGGCGAGCAAGGTGGGGAAATGAGAAGGAGGAGGCCTTCTCAGAAGGCAGGCGGCGGGGCCTCTCAGAAGCCTTCTGAGAAGCGTCGGTTCTTCGGGGAAGGCTTACAACACTTCTCAGACGGCCGGGGATAGCGAAGGGGGGGGGTGAGAATCAGCTCACGTAGCTGATGGGCCGAAACCAGCTGCATGCAGCAGATTTCGTACCCCCCCTTTCCCAATCCCCCCCTCTCGTTCGGCCCGAGAGAAGGCCCGCCTCTCCTCACTTCCCCCCCGGGGCTCGCCGCCGAGGTAAGAGCGAAGGGGTGGCCGCAGGGACCTATCGCGGGCCCCGTCGCGAGGGTGGCCGGGCTGCTGACCGGGGCCCAGCTCAGGGCCACGATGCCGCCGTCGTGCGCGGGGAGCGGGTGGGACTGCCACTGGTCGCTGCGGGCGCACGGAGGGTCCGGACCCCCTCGAGTCAGGACGAAAAATCACGACGAACATCAGGACGAAAACGCTATGTTCAGCCTCTGGGGGCCCTCGCAACGGTAGAGGGAATCAATTACTGAACACTCCCCCTCCCCCCCAAACTCAATGTTGGCACGCGCGGGGGAGACTGCGGTCGAAGCGCATCTCATCAGACCCACCGCCCACCGCCAACTTTGAACATGTGGGGGAGGGGGAGGCGTTGACGGATGAATGTGGCATCAGTGTTCGCTAATTTGTTCCGAGGCCTGTGGGTGTGTTGCCCTGCACGCGGCTGCCCTCGAAGTGATTGGGGCGTAAAAGTACAGGAAGAAGTACACGGGAAAATGATCGAGGGGGGGACCCGGGAAAAAACACCACAATCACAGCGAACATCAAACCGTCAACTGTGGACTGTCCCCGGACTGAATCAGACACGGGTAAGTCGAACTTGACGCTTTGCTTTTCGACTTGTACGACGAACCACAGCGGCGGCCGACTGACAGCGACGACGACGTCCGGGCGCCAAGCAAGAAACGGCCAAAGCGGCTGCATTGTGTTATGTCTAGCGCCTCCCAACGGCCCCGGTTCCCCCCCTGGAAGCGCTTCGCGCATCCCATTCGATGTTTTTATACATTACTCGCATCACTCGTCCCATCATTCATAATTTTTCACGTATTACTCGTATCGCTCGTAAGAAAAAAAAATCGTTCGTGAATGACTCCACAGGGGGGTCGGGGCGGCATCCGGGGAGCTGTGTCCGAACTCGTGTCCGAATGCGCTTTTCACAAACAGTCACACACTTCGTGCTCTTCGACCTCCCAGAACTCCATTCCCGGGCCACATTCTGAATGCCTGGAGCCAACTGTAGGCCACTTCGTGCTCTTCGACTTCCCAGAACTCCATCCCCGGGCCACATTTTGAATGCCCGGAGCCAACTGTAGGCCACTTCGTGCTCTTCGAGTTCCCAGAACTCCATTCCCGGGCCACATTTTGAATGCCCGGAGCCAACTGTAATTAAGCCACTTCGTGCTCTTCGAGTTCCCAGAACTCCACTCCCGGGCCACATTCTGAATGCCCGGAGCCAACTGTAGGCCACTTCGTGCTCTTCGAGTGCCCAGAACTCCATTCCCGGGCCACATTTTGAATGCCCGGAGCCAACTGTAGGCCACTTCGTGCTCTTCGAGTGCCCAGAACTCCATTCCCGGGCCACATTTTGAATGCCCGGAGCCAACTGTAGGCCACTTCGTGCTCTTCGAGTTCCCAGAACTCCATTCCCGGGCCACATTTTGATGCTGATGCAGAGGCTGAGAATGGTGATGCTGATGCTGAGGCTGAGGCTGAGGCAGGCAGGCTGAGGCTGATGAGGCTGAGGCAGGCTGAGGCTGAGGCCGAGGCTGAAGGCAGGCTGAGGCAGACGCTGAGGCAGGCTGAGGCTGAGGCAGGCTGAGGCTGAGGCTGAGGCTGAGGCAGGCTGATGCTGAGGCAGGCTGAGGCTGAGGCTGAGGCTGAAGGCTGAGGCTGAGGCAGGCTGAGGCTGAGGCAGGCTGAGGCAGACTGCTGAGGCTGAGGCTGAGGCTGAGGCTGAGGCAGGCTGAGGCTGAGGCTGAGGCTGAGCAGGCTGAGGCTGAGGCAGGCTGAGGCACAGAGGCTGAGGCTGAAGGCAGACTGAGGCTGAGGCTGAAGCAGGCTGAGGCTGAGGCAGGCTGAGGCTGAGACTGAGGCAGGCTGAGGCTGAGGCAGGCTGAGGCTGAGGCAGGCAGGCTGAGGCTGAGGCTGAGGGTGAGGCTGAGGCTGAGGCTGAGGCAGGCTGAGGCAGACGCTGAGGCAGGCTGATGCTGAGGCAGGGTGAGGCTGAGGCTGAGGCTGATGCAGGCTGAGGCTGAGGCAGGCTGAGGCTGAGGCCGAGGCTGAAGGCAGGCTGAGGCTGAGGCTGAAGCAGGCTGAGGCTGAGGCTGAGGCAGGCTGAGGCTGAGGCTGAAGCAGGCTGATACTGAGGCAGGCTGAGGCTGAGGCAGGCTGAGGCACAGAGGCTGAGGCTGAAGGCAGACTGAGGCTGAGGCTGAAGCAGGCTGAGGCTGAGGCTGAGGCAGGCTGAGGCTGAGGCTGAGGCAGGCTGATACTGAGGCAGGCTGAGGCTGTGACTGCGACTGCCGCTGCCACTGCGACTGTCATCGCGAATGCGACTGCGACTGCGAGAACAGCAGAACTCTACAACTGGATTCTCATCTGAATCTTAAGGGGAATGCTTCCATATATGCTTCTACGCATCGCTGTTAGGTTGCTTTGCCGGGATATTTTTTCACGTATTACTCGTATCGCTCGTAAGAAAAAGGAAGTCGTTCGTGAAAAAAAACTTTCGACGAGTGATGCGAGTAATGTAGGAAAACATGAGGAGTGATGGGACGAGTGATACGAGTAATACGTGAAAAATAGGTCGCGGGACGACTCGGACGCCAAAACATTGGAAAAAGGTGATCTCCACACGTATATGCGTGTGTATATATATATATATATATGTATGTGAATGTGTATGTATATATGTGTACAGCCATACACATATACATATACAATAATACAAATGTATGTATCCATATACATATCAACATCGTCAACATGGTCTCGCAGAAATCCTTACCCGCAGAATCGCTCGGCCAACTCGAAACGTCTCGGGCGCCAAAGCACTGGAACAGGTTACGTACATATATATATATATATATATATATATATATATGTGTTTTGTAATATATATATGTATATATGTATATACATACATATGTGTATGTGTATGTGTATGTCTACTGATATATATATAGATATATACATGTATATGTTTGTGTATATATATATGTATGTATATATACGTATGCATGTACGCATACATATACATATACATATAGCTATATACATACATACATACATACATACATACATACACACATACATACATACATACATACATACATACATACATACATACATATACACATGTATATATGTATATCGGGGCCGTCAACACAGAGACTCGGGATGAACAAACGGCCCTGGGGAATGGATCGAGATCTTTTGGGGGTCGACGCTGCGAAAAAAACATGACGTTGGGGACTGGGGGGGGCATCCTGGCGTCGCAAGTTGTTGCGCACCGGGTGACTTCGCTTGGATTCGGGGCCAGGGACCCTCGCAGACCGACCTGGTTCGAGACATGCTGCAGAAAGCTAGGGTCTAGCGCTCCGTTCGTTTTTGTGTGTTTTGTTTTGTTTGTCTGTTTGTTTGCGATGTTGCACCCTTCCCGTGACGTTTCATGTCAGGCGATGGAGGCACCCATTCCATCACATGTTCGCGTCACGGACAGACATTCACGACGGACGGCGCTCGACCGTGTTCGGGCTCTGAGGGTCCTCGCTGGGCCCACGGGGCCGTCAGATAACGACTGGAGATGAGAAGCCGGCGCTGGGGAACGGGTCGGGTCTTCCAGGGCCCCTTTATCGAACAGATCAAAAACATCGGAAACGAGCGGAGAACCGACTAGGGTGAGCTGGCCCGAAAGCGCTTCGCAGTGCACCCGCAGCTTGAGCCGAAGCCAGAGCTGAAATGCACAGGTTAATTACAAATGGTACAGGCGAGCAGCATAATAAGGATGCGCGGTCAGGATGCAAGGGCCATGAAAGACCATGTCGACGTCTTTCGAGCGGGGCGCGGCCAGCAGGAGTGGCCAAGGATGGGCCGAAGGGGCAAGGATGCAAGGGTAACCACCTTGGAGAGTTGCTTATCCTTACCATGCGTTTTGCGTTTTGACTGTAAGGGGTAAGGGCCCACCCTGCAGATTTGATTGACGGCACATCGTTCGTTCGGACGGGCGGCAAGAGGAACCCGCCCAGACCTCCGAAGACGGGGCGTTTTCACGTCGTCGACCCCTGGAAGTCTATACACACTACTCAGAACCACCTTTCCATCCCGAGACGTTCTCTGACGGCCTTGTGGCCCGAAACCAGCCCCCAGAGAGGCCGACAGTGGTTCACAAACCTCCCGTCGTGATTTGTGTCACGGCTCGAAGTCTGCCGCACGTGCCCAGATCGGCGCCAAGCTCGCCCGCTCGTCCTCCTCGTGCTCCTGCTCCTCCACATCCTCCTCGCTCCCGTGCCCCTCCTCCTCCGTCTCCTCTTCCTCCTCGGGCTCTTCCTCCTCTCTCTCCCAAGTGGACTCTGGCGACCAGGTTATTCCCAGGAGTTTCCCAGATGCTTGCCTCCTAGGCAACCACATGCGATCCCGATCCTCAAATGTCTGAAAAACAGGCCGGGGTATGAAGCTCGAAAGACGTATGCGGCCAAGTGCTGGCCGCCAATCCTTCCCCTCCTCTCCTCCATGTCGTTCTTCCCCTAGGTGCGGGGGACGGGGGAGCGGGCGGGTCGGGGGGGCGCGCGCGAGATGGACCGCAGCTCGGGAGAAGCCGAAGGCCCCTCGAGGGGCGAGTGGCCCGATCTCTCTAGATGGCCCGCTCTGGGCCATGCGATCCTAGAAGCCACCGCCACCGACAGTGCATGGGTGTTCCATGGTTCGATTGCTTTCTGCACAAACTGCGGATCCGTGTGCATAATCGGGGGTTAGCGTCGGCAAGTCTGCTATCGTGTCTGATTGTTCGGGGCGTCGGTCCGCGGGGCGCGAACGTCAGTTGGCTTGGATTTCGCAGGGTCGACACCCCAGTCAGAAGAATGTAGTTTTGTGTCGGGCCACTGTGTTATCAGACAGTGCCTGTGCCCACCTAGCTCTTAAGATGGGCCTGGATGGCGTCCGTCCGATGGTGCCTCCCAACTTGCCTGATTCTGGGGGGGGGACACGGGTGCGGGGGGGGTGCCTCAGGGTTGTGTGAAGGTTCCGCTGGGAGGCCCTCGGGAAGCGCCCCTGTCTCGGCCGCTCCCGACCACCCCACGGGAATAGGACACTGCCAGACCTTCCGAGGGGGCTGGCCCTATTCGGACTTT